ACTTATTAAGGCTATCATCGTTCCACTGAGATTTAATGTCTGCTGAACACTAAAAAGTCTAAGGTTTGAAATATGCTGGGAAGTCACAATTAAAGCAAGTCTTTATTTTCTCCAAAGGTAATTGAGCCACCTTCTCCCCAGTGATCTATGCGTACCCTGGAGAGGCGTGTAGACATTTAGTGAAGTACAACAAATATATTATGGCCCTAAAAAGCCACTGGTGACAACATGAAATCAAACACTATAGGACCACCCAGCTCCCACCTCCAAACTTCATAATTCCACTTGAAATCCCTAGCATCTTTGTAGAAGACTATTCTACATTCGTTCTTTCATTGATCTATTCTTTCAACAAGTACTGAGCATGTTTTGCGGAGCAGACATCGTGCTACAAACTGTGTAGAGTAGCACCAAAACCCAATGTAGCCCATTCCTTTGAGCAACTGGTAGTCTGGAGCTCACTGGAATATAAGTTTCATGAAATCAGGAACTTAGTTATTCAGTGGATTTGTTTGAGTGAGTCGCAAGTGAATAAGACGTAAAGGGAGCCCTTTTGTTTTTTTTCCAAACATAAAACAAGGAAGTATGACAATAATATCATTTGTACGGGCAATAGAGGATACGTTATTTAATGCACGAATTCCGATTGAGGTCCAGGCATCTGGGCAGGGGTCAGACCTAACCATATGGCATCCAATTGAAAAGGAGGGGAGGGGGAAAAGATAATGGTAGGTTGGGGAACAGAGCACTTATCCACCCATGGGCAGGGTGTTGTTTATGTCTCCACAGGAAAGGGAGAGAGAAACCAGACCTCATTCCAGTGTGCCAAGTCTTGAGGGCAACATACTGGCATGGAGCAGGGCATTAACAATGAGGATCAAGGAGTCGGCCCCAATTCGAGCTATGTTGACCCCCACCCTAGAAGAATGTACTACAGAGGACAGCACTGAAGATATGGGCTGGGGAAGATGGCTGGTCTGTCCTAAACACACAGGAGCATTATAAGAGGGGAGAGACAACACTGGAGACACAGGGAGGGAAGCGTGTCCAGTCTGACCCCACCACCCCTCCCCCGGACAGGCGAATCATCATGGGCACCCACCAGAGCAACAAAGGCAGCAAAATCACGAAGTCCCCAAGGAATCTCTAAAATATACTTCTGACTCAGGGGACCTCATGCCACCTCATCAGACCTGGTGTGAAAATATTCATAAAAGTCAGCAGATAGACCTGGAACTATTTATAGGCTTTTCCTTTTATTTTTTTAAATCAATTTATTGGGGCTCATACAATTCATCACAATACATAGATCAATTGTGTAAAGCACATCCATACATTTGTTGCCCTCATTATTCCCAAAATTCG